GATACAACCTTGACTCACACTTTTCCTGATTGTAAACCATAAAAACATCCTCTTATTCTGTTCAAACAATTGCTTCTTGGCCTAAGAATAGGTTCCACATGAGCATAATGAAATATTCTGGGATCCTTTTCTTCACAATGTTAACTTTTGCATAGTCAATAAAACATAGGTAAACATCTTGATTGTATTTCATACTACCTGTGCTGTTAATATTACTGTTTGATGATTTCCACATTCTGCTGGATCAATTTCATTCAGAATGGACATAAATATGGACCTCTACATGCAGTTGTCCTAGATGTGTTCCAAACAGTCTTGACATAAACTCGTGCATGCTGCCAGCTCTGTCCTTCTGGTATTGCAACTGTCTGATGAATCATAGTGTTACTCTGTCAATCCCTGAGTGTTGATTTGCTCCAATGTCTTGGGTGCAGTTCAGACTTTCTCCTTCAGTACCACGGGTGCTGCTATAATGTACAACGTCCTGGGTATTTTACAGGATGGGGGAGATATGGATCCAGAGAGGTATTGTACAGTGACCAATAATATTTGGAGTCTGAATTTGGACCCACTACATGTGCTTTCAAATCCTAAACTCTTACCATTGTATTATTTCTCTATTTTTGGCTCACATTTACATTGAAAGGATGGATTGAAGAAACCTGATTTTTTTGTTTTGTCAAGTTCAACATTCAGATGTCTTCACTGATATGTGGTTGGGATGGGGAGGACTAGCGGGGAGGTAGGATTCAAGAGCAATGCATGCTGAGGTGGTAACTGGTTATCCTTTTAATTAAACATCAGGAAGAATAGCTTGACCAGCAGGATTTTCTCTGGTATAGGCAATTCTGACAAGATACCAGAACAAGAAATGCATTGTCTATCTTATTTTGGCTCATTTGTAACTTGAAGTGATTATTTCCGGAGCAAATAGAGCTAACTATCCTCAAAAAGACTTTTCCTAGAAAACCTTTCCATTTAAGTAAGCACCATCTCCTTCCAAAGAAACAAGAGCCCTTGACAGCCTCCCTCCTCCCTGAAGATAGCAAGAGCTTCATCTTCAGTAGTAGTTCTATGGCTACCCATCACTGGCAAGGTAAGGTCCCCCACAATTGTAAAGAAGGATAGGACCTACATAATAATCATGAATAAAGTATATTTGCCTTAGCACTACTTCATCAAATGCTGCTTAAAATAAAATGTTCCTCTTATATTTTCTTGAGGAAAGTAGGTGGAGAATTAATTTTTAAAATTATTAATCTTTTAATGTATCAAAATGTAATTATCCAAAGGTAATTAAATCAAGTGTATTCATTATGCTATTCATATCGTGAACTAAAATAAGACATACAATGATACTCAAACCTGAACAGTTCCTCGGCAGGTTGCAGTTGGTTATCTGGTGCATTATCTAATGAGTCTTATTGGCTTCTGGGAATAAGCACTCTAAATTTGGAAAACTTTATTTCATTTTTCATTTCTTTTGGCATCACATTTATTAATGTCCTGGCTCCCTTCCATTTTACTTCATCATCTAATATCAAGAAGATGAACCAAAGTAATATTCGTTTCACATCAATGCTGGGACTTTGGAGAATTTCAATTTGGTAGATTAAATGCTGCCCTTACTGATGCTGCCCTTTATCTTTAAAAAGACCCAGCCACACAGATGAGAAATGAACAACTTTGTATTTTAGCAGCTTCGTGTTTCCTATTCAAGGCATGAATCTATAACACTACATGAGTGACGGCATGAAAGTCATGTCAGTGTCTCACATATTTGTGAATGGACATGAGAAGACAGATTGTTTAGTGGTTAAGAATAATTCAAGAAAAATAAGCCCTTTGGAGGATGTTTTCCTTTCGATTGGGCAATGCATAAGGTTAGAACTTCTGCATGGCTTGTCTTAATCATAACACTGAGCAAGAGCAGCACAACTATTTTTAAAAAGTTGACCAGATACACAGCATAAACCCAAGAGAGATCTTGGCAGTTCTCAACTCCTTTCTAGCTTTTGGAGAATTTTCCTTAAGCCATCCCGGAAAGAAAATTGTTTATTCTGTCTTATGTCTTCAAACATTTCCAGAGAAAATGACTCAATTTTCACTTTATTTTATGGCAGTATTTAAAATCCGTTGTGGCCTCAATGTTCTCCCAACTCTGGAACATATTTTCTTTTTTTAAAATCATTTTATTAGGGGCTCATACAACTCTTATCATAATCCACACACACATCAATTGTGTAAAGCGCATTTGTTCCTTCATTGCCCTCATCATTCTCAAAACATTTCCTCTCCACTTAAGGTCCCTGCATTCGTCTTCCTTTTTTCTCCTCCTTCCCTCATGTGCCCTTGATAGTTTATAAATTGTTATTTTGTCATATCTTGCCCTGTCCGACGTTTCCCTTCACCCACTTTTCTGTTGTCCGTCCCCCAGGGAGGAGGTCACATATAGTTCCTTGTAATCGGTTCCCTCTTTATTTCCTTATACCCAGCCACTGCGGCCATGGGAGCTCCTACTCACAGCGACCCTGTGGAATGTTGGAGAGGTTGTGAATCTCGAAGGGAGCAGGGTACCGATCTTTCTCTCCCACAGAGTGGTTCGCAGTCTGATGCTTACCCAATAGCTCTCTCCAGGCTCCATCAGTCTATAGTTTACCAATCGATGCAGGCTACTTCTTCTATCTTTTCATGGTCACTTGCTAAGGAAGAAAAAAAAAGAGTGATATAAGATAATAATACTGAAGTAATGAAAGTGAATTGAGGACTATATTTCAACTGTGAAATGTGTTGACTTAGTGCATATGAGGCTGCTAACTGCAAAGACTGAAGTTCAAATCCACTAGCTGTCCCAGAAAAAAAAAAAGAGTTCTTAAGAAAATATATTGCACAAGGCATATTTGTTACCTGTTATACAAAACTATCAGTTCATTTTTAAATATTCAGAGGACATTTCAGGTTTATGTTTGAAGAATATATCAGGGCAATCATTTCAGAAGTTCTTCCGATCTTCCTGACTCCAGGAATTCTGTTCAGTGTTTTTCTCATTTTGAGCAGGATTCTAGGAAAGCATTTTTGAATCTGCACAGTAATGAATAGCACAGAATTTGTGTGTGTGTGTGTGTGTGTGTGTGTGTGTGTGTGTGAGTGAGTGTGATTCTTAGGAGAGGTCTGTTTTCTGCAACATTTGATGCTAATTTAGCATACAATCATGTAGGTATTGAAAATTTTTCAATTGTTCATCATAAAATATCTTCAAATGCTTCTTTGATCAGAGTCACTTCTCTAAGTGCTTCAGACAAAGTCTTAGAAGCTTCTAACTGAAAACACCATTGTTTTAAACAGTCTATGAAAAGTGAGACTCAGGTGCCATGTAGTAGGACCTCAGTCTTTGAAGTAGCTGCAACATAGAATGTAATATTTTTACAGATAGTTAAGACTTACTGTAGGATAGGATACACGTTTGGTGCTTCCTCACATCAGAGAGTGACAGGCAGGATGGAGTCTCACAAAGTGCTTCTATGAATGCTTCTCAACCCATTGCTGAGTGACTTGCACTTGTTTATAAGTCTATAGGAAAAGAGACTCATTTACATTCATATTCTCTCAGGGATAGATTATCAAATTCTCTATCGATCCAATTGCTAAGGATAAAGTCTATTTAGAAAGAGCTCAAATGATTTCTGTTGCTGAAAAAAGAACCATGATGTGATATAGTCGTATTTCCTTCCATTCTGTATCTGGTAGAATCTAGCTTTGCCAAGAGAGGTGTAGATATAGGTGTTTATAGCTCTTCATAAATGACAAGTTGGACAAAAGCATCAAAATTTTTGAGCCTAATTACCTAGCCTTTTGTCTAGACTAGTTTAGAAACTATTTACATATGCATTTCATCCTTTTATGTTTAACTTCAATTGTAATTTTGTAGGGCAAAGGTGAAAAATTATATCCTTAGCCTCTATTTTATGTGATAGAACTGTTCGTGGAGATTCTATTTTTAAGTAGGTAACTCTGCATATTATTTAGCTCAGAGTCTGTGTTTCTGCAATTTGCAAATGATATAATCATAATTGAATTCTCAGAAAAGTAGCAAATAATGTTTATATTCCAATTATACTTAGATAGTTCATTTTGTGTGTGTGTGTGTGTGCTCTTTTCCCTTGAGAAAATTCCTTTGGAGGTGTGTGTGTGTGTGTGTGTGTGTGTGTGTGTGTGTGTTCTACAATTTGTCTCTTATTTGGTTTGTCTTTGGCTCTCTCTCTTGGAGCCTGGTTGCCTTGGTTACTGTTACATACAGCTTGTATGTGAAATTCCCCTTTGACGTACATCTATTTCTATGGAAACAATGATGTCACTGGTATGGTTAGATGCTTAGGGAGAGCATAATGAAGAAGTTGAACAGTGAAATTTCCTTTGGTCAGAAAATATATTATTAAAGTATTTTTAATTAGAGCACTACTTATTGCTTTTCATTGGCATGATCATGAAGCTAATCTTTTCCTTGTTTATAGATGTGCTTGAAGAAAATGACTAAGTGTTAAATAGACCATGAGCCAGCCTACCTTCTACATGGCAGCCATAGACACCTTCACAGGCACACAGCTTGAAAAGAGTTATTATTCTAGCCTTAAAAGTTTATCAGGGGATGAAAAGTTTATTTCAATTACATTGTTACTATGAAATATTATTGAACAATGACTTATATTTCATTTCACGACAACAGCAATGTATAAATGAGAGACCAATGGGTGGGAGAATGTCTATTTATAATCATAATTTTAAGGGGTCTAGTTTTAGAACTGCAGGGCAATAATAAAAGAATGTTAAAATTAATGAACTCTAAATAATAAAAGAAATGTTACTACAACCTTGATGCTATACTAAGTCCTTGTACAATTGGTGTTCTCTTTTCTTTAAGTCTGGAGAGCCATTCTGACCTTGAAATAAATCTCTTCACTCTGCTCCCACTCTACTTCCGTTTGATGTTCTTCCCTCTTCAGATGATGTGGAAACCAGCCTATGACTTTCTTCACACGTGGAGCGCTCGCTACGGAAGTAGCTACCGAGACGCGTTACAAGACCTTCAATCCGCTTTGGACAGAATGAAAAGCCCCGTGACCAAGCAGTGGCGGGATTTAACGGGAGCATTAATACTAGTCAATTCTTTAGAGGCTCTGAGAGCAAGTGCTTTCTCAACTTCTGAGGAAGTATAGAAATTGGGTGGGGGGGGCGTTGAAGACAAGAAAAGGTAGGAAGGGGACAATGTATGTGTGTGTCTGAGAAAGAGAGAGCAATGGCCTCAGAAGAGGATTATACTAGTTTTGTTTTCCATGTGGAAGCACAGTCTGAAGCAATATCCAAGGGTAAGTTTTCTGGGGAAACACTTTAATGCATTTTTGTGTATGCTTCATGGACAAATGGTAGGCGACTTTGTTGCTGAGGAATGAAAGAAAAACCCTCTGTCAAAGTTGTTTTTAATGTCCTTTATTTAAACCATGTGATTATTAGAATAACTGCATCACACGGGTACCTATGCAGAGCCCTGCTGGCAAAACGGGTTCTGTATTGGGCTGCTGACCACAGGTCAGTAGTTTAAATGCACCAGTTGCCTCCAAGGGAGAAAGATGAGGCTTTCTGCTCCCACAGAGAGTACCCTGTTCTATAGGGTGACTATGAATTACACTCAACACTGGCAGGAGTTTGGTGTCTGAGCGTTGGCACCCAAATCAATGAGATGTTCTCAGGGAATGACTGGAATTTACTGCAGAGAGGGCACACAGGAGCATAGACATACAAGCACAAATACATGTAAGGGCTACATGGTTTTGGTGTACTTGTGGTAGTTACAGAATTGCATGTTAACTTGAAGAGGTATAAAAGTGGAAGGGTGGAGTTTTGTCTGTCAATCAGGTTGCAGCTTGGTGACCTCACTTGGAACTCTGATGAGATCTATCGCCCTTTGGAGGCTGGTGTCTCTCTGCCTTCACCTTCCTGCTTCCTGGCCACCAGGAGAGCCACTGGAGCCCTGCATGCTTTCTACCAACCCCGGATCCACACGATTATGCACCCACCAGCCTGCGGTCTTCCTGCATTCTGTGTCATTGGCAGGTTGCTATGTGAGTCTGAAGATGGACTTATGGACTAGCATTGGATTTATAGGCTTGAGTTGGATTGGGCTGTGATATTTTCTTGATATATATTACTTCTTCATATAAAGCTTTTCCTTATATGTATATGAGTGTCACTTGATTTGTTTCTCTAGTCAACCTGGCCTGACATCTTTTATCCTTCATCAGAATTGCCGAGTATTATTGCCATTTTTCACATAAACACATGACTAGAGAGGAGGTCCAAGGGTATTCAGGTCACATAAAGTATGCTTTTGATTGGCAAAATGTGTTTCTATTTATTTATTTAATTTTTTATCTATCATGTAGCTGAATAGCAAAAAAAAAAAGTTTTAATGCATTTTAGAACTTGTTGGGGGTTGAATTTTGCCCCTCTCCCCACCCAAATATGTATTTCAAATGCTAACCTCAATAGCTGTGGTCATAATCTCATTTGGGATAAGGTTGTCTTTGTTATAGTCATGTAACAGGATTAGTGTAGGCTATATTTTGAGTCTCTTTCTTTTTAAAAAGAGATTAAACTACAAGGTAGAAGCCTAAGTGGGAAAAGAGAGATGTCCAACCACATGAAGCCTCCCCCTAGGTCCCTGACTCTGACGTTCTGGTCTCCTTAACTGTGAGAAGTTAAATGTCTGTTGGTTGAAGTCATCCACTTGTGGTCCTTCTGTTAAAGCAGCACTAACGGAGACAGAAGTCATAGGGAAACTGTAGCTATTTCATTTAATTGAATGCTGCTGCTCTTTTTTCACCATCTCTTAAAAGACTGCCAGAAGGGAAATATGACTTATGATCTAAAATCTGCCGTGTGCATACATGGGCCTGATGCTTCCATCAGCCTCCTTTAGCATCTTGGGACCTGTCGAATCCTGCCGAACTCTGATTTATTTTTTTCCCTGCAGGACCATAATGCAGAGTGTTTCTTTAGCTCTTGGGGATCTTTAATACCAAGAGTTATTAATAGAAAACAAAATATGGATTTATCAACAACTGAAATCAGTAGACTGTGTGTGTGTGTGTGTGTGTGTGTGACAGAGAGAAAGAGGAGGGGATGGGTTATAGTGGCAGGCTTTATAAGCCTTTGCAAGTAAAAAAGATTGGGTAGGAATCCGTGTCGATATGAATGCTAATTGCTGTCTAGGCTCCCAAAGAGATGGCCTGTGCCTGCCGGCATGTTCATTCCTCTTGTCATTTGCAGTGTTTCTAAGGTTGGGACACTGGTTCATTTAAGTATTAAATTGACAGGTACACATGTGCATCTGTGACTGGCACACAGGTAGTTGAAATCAATATGTCAAAAAAGAGCATGAATCCTGACTGTATGTGGTAGTTACGTAATCACATGTCAACTTGAGGATATTATGAATGAAGGGGTGGAGGCTAGCCTGTCAATCAGGTCACAGCCTGGTAATCCCTTCTTGTGGATGTGGCTTTCTCATGAGGATTCTGGGAAGTTTTTCCTCTTCCTCCCTGGAGGTGGACATGCTCTCTCTGCTGCACATTCCTGTTGATAAGCCACATGGAGCCACGCTGATGACAGCCAGCGCGCTGGCAGGGATGGGTAAGTCTAAAGAGGAATTTATGGACTAGTATGGGACATATGGGCTAATATCAGACTCATGGACTTGATCTAGACTGGGCTGGGATGTTTTCTTAATATACAATTATTCTTTGATTTAAAGCTCTCTGTTATACACACATAGTGTCTCTGAATTTGTTTCTCTACTAAACCTAGACTAATACACTTTATTAGGATTTAGTGATAATGATTGATATTTTAAAAAGAGAGTACATTACTGGCTATAGGGTAGACAGGTGCTAACTTGGGCAAAGGGGAAGGTAATATACAATAAGAAGGAGGCTGATCAAAAATGACAGTTGTAGAGAAAACATTGGGAAAAGGGTAAGAATTAAAGGTAACTGAGGTAAGTCTGGTTAAATACATACTCCTGTAATAAGGTTATCTATAAGAAGATGCATGGATAGGCATGCAGGTTGAATGGCAATGGGAAGTCAGAGAGGGAGTGTACCCATGAATATATGTAGGTTTAACAAAGGGTACTTACACATAGGTATTTGCCTTTGCTACAAATATATCTATGGGTGTGGTAGAGCATGCAGGTGGTCAAGTAATGAAAATTGCTTAGACATAACCAAACACCTTGAAGTACTGAGTTGCTGGGCCTGGGGACTCAGGGCCATAGTCCCAGGGGACATTCAATTCAATTGGCAGAACACAGTCCACACAGACAATGTTCTGCATCCTACTTTGATGAAGAGTCACTGGGGTCTTACATGCTCAGGAATGGCCAACTAAACTGCAATTACTCATCTTTCCCTGTTTGGAAGGAAGAAGAATGATGAACACCGGAGGTGCATGGGAGCATCCGGTACAATCACATGATCCAGAGACTGGAAGAATTAGATGTTGTCTGGCCACCACCAACGAACTACTCTGAAAGGGATCACATTAGAAGGCCCTGCATCGAGGAGCTGATACCAAGGGCTCAAGTAGAAAGAAAATGCTTTGACAATGATGATGGCAACAAATGTACAAATGTGCTTGACCCAATGGATGGATGGATGGATGGTGATCAGTTGCATGAGCCCCCAATAAAATGATTTTTTTTTAAAAAGAAAACTCTCCATTGAATCTGGGTGGGAAATAAGGTAACAAAACTCGAAATCATATAAGAGACCGGTCTGAATGATTACATAGAGACTGGTGGGTACCTAAGACTACAGCCCTTAGCAACTTTTCAGGTCTGAAAATGAACTCACTCCCATGGCTCAATTTTCAGCCAAGCATAGACAGTTCTACTTAAGGGGAGCCACAACACTAATGGAATACTCACAACTTAGAACAATGAACCACTTGAGATATTAAGGGCAGCATTTCCCCAAGGGCAAAGTTCAGAAGGGTTCGGAAAGAAGGAGAAATGGAACTAGGAAACACGGGGAAGAAGTAGGAAAACTAATTTCATTGTTGGGATTACAATCATGACATGAAACAAAAGGTATTAAAATTATTAAATGGAAAAGTCCTTCTGCTCTGTAAATCTTCATTCCAGTCAAAGTGAAAATGTCTGGGTTTTTTTTTAAAGTTAAATATTAAAGGACATCATTATTAGCAGCTGCTAAAGAAGGGTCCTTTGATTAAGAGCCATGGGGCTGGGAGGGAGGAGTAACATCAGCGGGAGGACAGCCCGGTAATTCTTCCTCCTCAGAAAAGAAATGATGATCCCAAAGGCGTGTTTGGTGTGATCTGTAGTCTGGAGTGGGTGGAAGAGGTGTTTCTTCATTACATGGAAGTCCTTGGGCAGGAGGGAAACGCAGTAGTAGGCAAGGGAGCCAGCATGCTGGGCCCAGAGGTGGGAAGGATCTACTGTAGGGCTGTTACAAATGCTTGAATGTAGGAAGGAGAGCCACACCCTCAAGAGCAACTAGGAGGAGCTGAATAAAGATTTTGTTTCAGGATCCTGAATAAAACATGTCCATTTGGCTAAAAAGTAAAAGCAGAATCTTTTTAGAGCTTTTAATACACCATCCCAGGGGTATCTGGTGTACTGGCAAAGGTAATTTGAATAAAAGTTAAGAACAACCTTTAAGGCTTTCAATATTTATATTTGATGATCAGAGAACATAGCCGGCTCAAGGAGCCATGCACACACATTCAAGGGCAGGGTTTATTTTTAGTGGAAATACATTCAGAGAGAAACCCACAATTTGGAAGTTTAGAACACAATTGTTTTGAGTGGGGATTTTTCTTTCTTTAGAGTACTTTTGGAATCTTATGAATAAATCAGCAAATCAAAGAATTTAGGGCAAGGAGCAGAAGGAAGAAATAACTGAGTTTTCCCAGGCTCCCAAATCAGAGAAGACAGAGATGTTGGCTGCTTAGAGCAGTAAGATTAATCAAGCACTTTAGATTTGTACCACATTGGATGTGATGGTGGTCCAGAAATTTCAGGACTAGTTTGAAAAGCAGAATTTCTGTATTTCAAGATGAAGCAACAGTTTAAATGCATTTTGTAAATTTGTAACAAATCCTTCTGCAAGGATTTCAATCTAATATCTTTATACATCAGTTCTGTTTTTGAAATCTTGCATTTCCCCCTACAGTGGATTTGGATAATCAGAAAAGGTTAATGTGGTCATCATAAATTGTCGTTAGTAGTTGATAGCTTACCACCACCAAGTCAAAGGAATTAAAAAGCGTACTTTAAACCTATCCGTGACATCGTTAAAAGTGTCAAAGGCCATTTGTCGAAAACTTCTGTAAGTTTTATCAAAAGTGGTTAAAGCACAGACGGCCCTTT